AAAAAAAATGAAACCCAACAAAAAAAAACAAAAAAAACGAAATACAACCCCCAAAAATGCCGAAATAACAGACAAAACAGAGGAGAAGAGAGGGTAAAACTTACCAATAGGGAAATCAGTAAGGAAGAGGAGGAAGAAAGGTGAAATCGACCACGCAAAGCCCACGAGCAAAACCCTAGGTCAGAGCAACTGAAGAGGAGATAGAAAAAAAAATGACCTGAAGAGTCGAGGGAGGGAGTTTTATATAAAATCGGTCCGTTCGAGCGTAGGAATGAACGCTCGAGCGTGATTCAAGGCAAGCTGACACCCGCTCGAGCTCGCATAAGGACTCTTGAGCGCAAAAAAACCTCTCTCAGAACTGTAAAGCAAAGAGCAAACTACTACAAGACGAAAAAATACGCTTGAGCGTAAAAAATACCGCTCGAGCGGGGGGAATTTTTTTTTTTTTTTTTAAAATTAAAAAAAAAACAAAATACTCAATAACAAGGTGAGACCCGAAACACAAGTAGATGAGCACATTCAGCCAGAAATGAAATACTAAGATGAGATAATCTGCAATTCATGAAGTCTGGAAACTTGCAGTTGTTAAAAAAATGAACACTGAACATCATGAGTAAAACAGATAAAAATATAATCAATGATCATAACTATAAGAGAATGAACAACTCAAAATCCAACATGAGAGCTCACAAAATAATGTGGTGTGTGTGCAATCCATGAGAGGTCACTGAGCTAGAGTTAATCCTAGTAGTGATCGAATGGCTGGACCTCCATCAAGAGTACCTCACAATACAGAGAAAAGTCAAACCACTAGGAATCACGGGGTATTTGTTGAGTAAGAGCGGAGGCTCCCCCTCAATCAATGAGTCCCATTTTTTATTATTATTTTTTATTTATTTTTTTCTTGTGGGCACTCACTGGTGGCTTTCATCCTCTCAAGAGTATGGAAACCAAACCAGAGAAGAATGGAATTATAAAGGATGGCCTGGTTGGTGCCTCTGAGGTAGCCTTTTCCTAATGCCCGGACTTCAAGGAACTGAGGGAGAAACCGTGGAAGTGAAAAACAGATGGTAGATGGTTAAGAGACTCAACTCACCCATGATATGCTAGTATCGGTCAATTCCACTGTAAAAGTACAAGAAAACACCTGTTAGTGGTCCATAGAAAACTTTGATCACATGTGCGGAAACCCTGCAACAATTAATCTCAAGGATGTGTACAGAATGAGATCATGAGGTTAATGAGCATGGGCATTCAAAATGAGCTATGACCAATGAACAATGAGATCTTGTAAGCAGCATGAGTAGTGTAATATAAAAAGTTGGATGCAAGTACAACAGATATCAATGACAATGAGATTATGACAATCCAAGCATACATAAGGCAAAAACACTTTCACCTACTCAAGCAACAAGTAACACTCAGTGATCGAGCATGACACCCAAGGTCTTTCTAAGGAACTCAAACCGAAGAAGATCAAGGGGTTTTGTAAAATATCAGCTTTTTGATGCTCAGTGGGAATATGCTCAAGAACAA